CCAAGGAATTCCACCTCCAATCCCCCAGGACATGACCAGAACCCCCACGAAGCAACTCCTCCTTCTCCAAGGAATTCCACCCCTCCCTCTCCAAGGAATTCCACCTCCACCCCCCATGAACCAACTCCTCCTTCTCCAAGGAATTCCCCCCCATTCCCATCCCCCCTGAACCAACTCCTCCCTCTCCCAGGACTCCCCCCCATCCCCATCCCGCACTCACGGCGAGTGTGTTCCCGTGCCAGGGTGCGGCTCCCATCCTGTCCCTGTGTCGCTGCCGTCCCATCCCCACGCCCATCCCGTAGGGCGCGTTTCCGTAGCGCCCCATCCCCATCCCCATCATCCCGTAATCTCCGTAGTCTCCGTAGTCTCCGTAATCCCCGTAATCCCCGTAGTCTCCGTAGTCCCCGTAGTCCCCGTAGTCTCCGTAGTCTCCGTACTCGGGCACCAGGGCTTGGGAGAAGAGGGACGGCAGCCGGTTGGCTCCGGCGGCGCCCATCCCGCGCGCGGCCCCCAGGTAGTTGAGCTCGTTCCAACGCGCCGACAGCCGCTCCGAGCTGGACGAGGAGGAGGAGGAGGCCGGGAACCCCTCGGGGCGGCCGAAGGCTCCGAGGCGGCCGCGGTTCTGGGCGCGGTTCTGCCCTCCCCGGCCCCGCAGGAGCCCGAAGCCGTTGTTCCCCCCGCGGCTCCGCGGCTGCTCCCGACGGGAGTCGAAGGCGCCGGCGCCGAAGGAGGAGTCTCCGGCGCGCTCGGCGTCGCCGTAGTCGGAGTAGCCGGCGCGGTAAAGGTCTCGCTCGCCCAGAGACGAGCGGGAATCGTAGGAGTCGAACGACTCGAAGCGGAAGGAGCTGTGAGGGGAGAGGGAGGGAGAGGTCAGGGACTGGAATTGCTGCCCTGCTTCCCTCTGCTATCCCAGTAGAATCCCAGGAATGCCTCATCCTTGGTGCTCCTGTTATCCCAGCAGTATCCTGGGAATGCCTCCCCCCTAGTGCTCCTGTTATCCTGGCAGTATCCTGGGAATGCCCTACCCCTGGTGCTCCTGTTATCCCAGCACTGATCCCAGGAATGCTCCCGTTATCCCAGCAGTATCCCAGGAATGCCCTATCCCTGGTGCTCCCGTTATCCCAGCACTGATCCCAGGCACGCTCCCGTTATCCCGGCAGTATCCCAGGCATGCTCCTGTTATCCCAGCACCGATCCTGGGCCCGCTCCCATTCTCCCATCAGTCTCCCAGTCCCGCTCACCCTTCGTGCTCGTCCGTGCCCTCGGTGGCTCCGGCAGTGCCGGGCACGCTCCCATTATCCCATCAGTATCCCAGGAACACTCCCATTCTCCCAGCACTATCCCAGGAATGCTCCCGTTCTCCCATCACTCTCCCATTCCCGCTCACCCCTCATGCTCCCATTATCCCATCAGTATCCCAGGAATGCTCCCGTTCCCGCTCACCCCTCGTGCTCGTCCATGGCCTCTGCGGCCCCGGCGCTGCCCTCCTTGGACAACATGTCGAGTCTCTGGTTGATCTTGGCGATGATGGAGTCGGAGTTTTCCGGGCCGGTTCCGTCGGCTCCGTAGGCGGCGGCGGCGGCTCCGTCGGAGTTGAGGCCCAGCTCGGAAGGTTTGGGAGGTTCCCAAGCTCCGGAAGCGGCTCCGTAGGTGTAGGAGGCGGCGGCGGGAGCGGCCGAGCTCTGGGGGGTGTAATAATCGTAGCCCTCATAGCCTGGGGGGAACCAAAACCAACTTTAATTTATTATAATTATATATTTTATTTATTATAATTTATGATCGTTATTATAAGGATTAAAAACACGTTTTATACTCTAAAATACACTGGGGTTAAAATGTTATAAAGATTTCTTATTGATGTAAAGAATAAAAGGATTTAGTCTCATAATATATTGATAATAAAATGTTATTATAATAATATAATAATAATAATATAAGTGCCTTTTAATATTATAAAAAACAAAGATATTTGATATCATAATATATTGATAATGAAATGTTATAAACACTTTTTAATATTATGAAAATTAAGTGTTATTTTATATCATAAACCACGTTGATATTAAAGTGTTATAAGCACTTTTTATTATTATAAAGACTAACAGTCTTTTATATAATAAAATATATTGACATTAAAGTGTTATAAAGACTTCTTATATTTTAAAGAATAAAGGTATTTGATGTCATAACATACTGATATTAAAGTGTTATAAACAGTTTTTAATATTATAAAGACTAAAAGTATTTGATATCATAAAATATATTGATATTCAAACATTGCAAATACTTCATAATATTACAAAGACTAAAGGGATTTGATATCCTAATATATTGATATTAAAATGTTACAAGCACTTTTTAAAATTATAAGAACTAAAGATATTTTA